TTATCTAATTTAATTTAATTTAATTTAATTTATTTAAGAAAGAGACAGCAAGCAAGCGGGGGAGGGGCAGAGAGAGAGAGAGGGAGAGAGAGAATCCCAAGCAGACTCCACGCTGTCAGTGCAGAGCCTGATACAGGGCTCGAACTCCCCAAGCGTCAGATCATGCATGACCTAAGCTGAAGTCAAGACGTGGACGCTTAACCGACTGAGCCATCCAGGCGCCCCGTGCCACAGTGATCATTCCGTTCCATGCTTGAGACCCTCCAGCGGATTTCCGTTGCCCTTACAGTAAGATCAGAGCTTCCTGACCTGGCTCCCGCCTAGTTCTCTGTCCTTATCACCTCCCTGTCTTGCTCACCGAGCTCCGGCCACTTAGACCTCCTCTCTGCTCCTCAGGCATCCTGGCTGGTTCTCACCTCAAGGCCTTTGCCGTGGCCGTTCCCTCTAGCCGGAGGGCCTTTTTCCTAGGTGTATGTGTGACTGGTGGGGTCTCGGCCAGACATCAGCTCTGTTGCTGACCACGAACAGGAAACCTTGCTTCTACACACGGTCTCAGGACCTTCTCCCTCCTTCGCTTCCCTCCCTCAGTTCATAGTACTTATCATTGCTCTACCTGGTCTTATTTAGTTATCGACGTATGTCTGAATGTCTGTCTGTCTTCTTAATGAAATGTGAGCCCCTTGATTCCTTTTACCATGCGCGCCTGCTGCCTTACATGGCAGGTGGGAGGTGCTCCATAAAATATTTCAGTGAGTGCAGATGATCAAAAAATTAGCAAATTAGAAACAGGGTAGTGATTCTTTGGAGTCCGAAAGATCCGGTTCTTCTGGTCTTTTTTCTGCCCCTTTGCTAAGGGATGCTGAATCTTTACGAGCCCGTTTCTTCATGTGTAACATGGGGTTAGCATTGCCTCACCTCCTCGTCTCACGGTGACGACTAAATGTAGTCAGTGTGGGGCACCTGGGGGGCTCAGTTGGTTAAGCGTTTCGATGCCGGCTCAGGTCGTGATCTCGCGGTTTTGGGGATCGAGCCCCACGTCGGGCTCCAAGCTGCTAGCTCAGAGCCTGCCGCCCACTTGGAATTCTCCGTCTCCCTCCCTCTCTCTGCCCTTTGCCTGCTCCCTCTCTCTCTCAAGTCAATGAACTTAAAAAACGATGAATGTAGTCAGTGTATTTAAAGGATCTGACACACTTAAGCGTTTCACAAACGTCCGTTCGTCTCCCTTTACACCTTTTGTCTGTGGCAGAGATTCTCAGGAAGGGTGTATCAACAATGTTTGGGCCCTGGCGAGACCCTCGACTGAACCATTAAAAAGGTCCTGATCACAGCGATGGCTTAATGAATCCGTTGCTCAGATTCCTGGCAAAGTAACACTTGAAATGTTTTATTTAACAGCAACCCCACTTTAGTATATTGTAATGGCCTCTTTCGCCACCTCTTACTACCCATTTGTAAAGTCTTTTCCCTGGGCTTCACTGTGTGTTGTTTGTGGTGAGTAACAGGCCTCCTTTGGCTAGCTGAATAGCGATTGTCATTATTTTTAATCTATATTAAAGGAAGGAGAGGAAGGGAAAATTTAGTTTAACGTGCTTAAAGTACCAGAAATATTTTTAAAGTCTGGATTTACTAAATTTTAAGATGGGTTGTGTCGTCTAGATGATTCCATACTAGGAGTGAAAAACGCACCATACATTTTAATTTTGTTTTGTAAGCTGTTTGATTTTTTACCCTGCTTCGTCGTGCTGTGGCTGTGTGATTTGAATGGAATCGCCTCTGCCCCAGAGCTAGACGATGGGAATCCAGACAGCAGTAGGGCCTCCCCCTGCCGGTAGAGGGCTCAGCGGGGAAGGTGAGACCAGGGCTCATGCCAGAGTGGCGGCAGGTACACCGGGAGGGGGACGGCCAGGGAGCCGTCTGTAGAGGCTGGAGGGATTGCAGAGAGAAGAGAGAGGGCGCAACACGGATGAGGGCCTCTTCCATCCCCTGTCACTACCACTACCGATTGCCCCGACCTCTCCTCCTGGTAACCCTTTCCTGGAAGTTAACAACAGCTCTCCCACTGGCCTCTCCTTTCCTTGCCCGCTCTGTTCCCTTTTTTCTTCTTTTTCTGCCTCAGTCTCCTGGTTTCTTCTTTCTTAAATGAGTCGCTTTTTCACCTTAAATGAGTAGCTTTTTCTCCTTTATGTTTTAGATGACTTACACATACTTATTTAAATTTTTTTTAATGTTTATCCATTTTTTTGAGAGAGAGGGAGTGCTTGAGCGGGGAGGGGCAGAGAGAGAGGGAGACACAGAATCCGAAGCAGGCTCCAGGCTCCGAGCTGTCAGCACAGAGCCCCACGCGGGGCTTGAACTCATTAGCTGTGAGATCATGACCTGAGCCGACGTCAGGTGGTTAACCGGCTGAGCCACCCAGGCGCCCCTATACATAGTTATTTTAAAATCTTCAGGTTGCTTTATTGATATTATTTTCTTGAGTGTGAACTGTGATCATTTGGGTTGTGGCCTGTCTGGACCGTGCGTGGTTTGCCCGTGTAAGACAGCCAGTTCCGTCCCCCGTGCTTCGTCTTCCCCCTGTGGGGCGCTGCAGTCACCTCTGCTTGGCCCTCTGGCTCCTGAAATCTCCATGGTTTTCTCCACCATGTGTGGTTCTCCTCCTCAGTTTCTGACCTTTGGATAAATTGTACCTTGTCTTTGAGGCCTGTAGTGCACCTTATAATATGTTTTTGTTAGGTATTTTTTGCTGTCACTTAAGTGTGTTTTGAGCAGGGTGGGTGGGTTTCCTGAATGTACTCACTCCTCCCCCTTGACAGAAGTCTCTCCGTTCATTCTTTCCACGGCAGCTAGAATCACCCCTGCAAAGCACACGAGTGACTGGGCACTCTGCCACAGAGCCTTGCAGTGGCTCGCCTTTGCTGTCACGCCTCAGTTCCCCCCTCCTGGCTTTCAGCCTCACCCCCTTACCCTCCAGCATGTCTCATCTGTGTTCCCCTTGTTTGCCTGGCCTAGAATGTCCCATTTCCCTTTGCCCTGGACACCCTGGGATCGTGGCTCCGTAACCCATTAAAAGTTGTGCAGGGCCCATGTTTGCTTTTTTTACCCCGTGGAGCAATGATTTGTTGACATACCTTGTCTCCAACCCAGGCTAAGGCCTTGCAGGCAGTTTTGCACCCTCAGTGCCTGTGCCAGGGCCTAGCACAAGAAACACCCACAGGGATTCTTCTTGAACTGCTCTGCAGCCTTTTACATGCTGGCTTTGTTTGAGTTCCTGGGACAACAGAGCCTGAAGTAAGGATTCGGGTACAAGTGGCTTCTTGGGGATATGACTCCAGGGAGCAGAGTGAGTAAGGTAGGAATAGAGGCAAAGCCAGTAAGGGTTCCTGAGTGATCTGGTTGGTGCCATGGGCGGCCGCAGCATTGTCTCTCCAGACATTGGAAGATGGGGACGTTTCCCCAGTAGCTCTCTTCCCCCGCTGCTTGAGGGTTCCCCTCCACATGTAAACTGGTTCTCACTTCCCACTGCCCTGCCGGGGGATCAGGGAGCCCTGGAAAAGCTCCAGTGCAGCAGAGAAAGGCCAGGAGTGCTTGAGGCGGGACTGTCTGTGTCTCCAGGTGCCGTCCACACGGCATCCACGCGGACTGAGCTGGGGTCCACGGGAGCCTGGGGCATGTGGCCAGGGGCACGAAAGGACCTGCTACCTATACACCCTCTCGTTGAATCCTCATCGCTGTCCTGTGGCGGGGGAGCCTGACCTTCCAAAGAGTCGCTGAGTTAGAACTTGAAGCCATTTTCGTGTGATTTCTTTTTTTTTTTTTTTTTTAATTTTTTTTTTCAACGTTTATTTATTTTTGGGACAGAGAGAGACAGAGCATGAATGGGGGAGGGGCAGAGAGAGAGGGAGACACAGAATCAGAAACAGGCTCCAGGCTCCGAGCCATCAGCCCAGAGCCTGACGCGGGGCTCGAACTCACGGACCGCGAGATCGTGACCTGGTTGAAGTCGGACGCTTAACCGACTGCGCCACCCAGGCGCCCCTTTTTTCGTGTGATTTCAAAGCCACTGCTCTTCCTATTATGAGTGGTTCACAGCATCCCTTCATTCAGCACCTATTTCCTGAGCACTGACTGTGTACCGTGATGGGCCTGCTCACTGATGGGTCCACGAGGTTGGCTGGATCCACCGCAGCCGTATTTGCCCCTGGATGTAGGAATGGAGCTGGGGGCGGGCGGACCTTTCACTTGTCAACAACACTTGATGACCCTGTTTGCTCCTTTCTAGGCCCAGCCTGCGTCCTTAGAGCCACGTGGCCCCTCACCTGTATATACTTGTGTTAAATCAATTCTCCTCCTCTTGTCCATGAAATAGACAAGGTAGTACCCCCCTTGTGTGGTCACATGAGGTGACCTGGGATAAAATCTTCGGTGTGGGTCCCGGCACTTGTCGGGCGGTCAGTGTGCTTAGTTTAAGCAGGCTTTAGGCCAGTTGGGAAAACTTGGGATACTGGGTAGGGCACAAGAAAACCGAGTTCTTCTATTTCCTTCCCTTTTGGAAAAACAGGCCTGACCTTCTGAAAGTGCTGCGTGAACTACTTCTGGAACGAATATGCTTGGCAGAGCAGGGAGTTTCTGCAGAACACCTTGACGGTAAAACCGAGACGTCACTCAGGCAAATGGTTGTACAGCTGAGAGGTGAACTCGGACATTTCACCCGACCCAACTCGTTGTCCAAATCCCACGATGAACTGAAGTCGCCTCGGACGGCCCGGCTAGAAATGGCAGGTGAAGCATCCAAGCCGGAACTGAAAGATGCCTCCGTGCAGACAGTGACCGTGGAGGGTGACACGCTCGGATTCCAGCAAGATGGCAAGAGAGAGGCTTGGGAAGAGAAGCCGCCGGATGCCGTGCTCCACATGGAGGGTCAGCCGGAGAACTTGTGCACAATGTCAGGGAGGCACGTCACCCCCCTTGCCTTCCCTGGTGGGACCCACAAAGTAAGCTTGTTTGTATATTATTTATTAATTTCTTCTTTTATACAGAGGTAAGACTTCAAAACTCACCTCTGATCCCACTTGATTTATATAAAATCCAGTAGCTCCCTCTACCTGTACTTAGTCTGGCCTCTACCTGGAGGTGTGTGTTTTGTCTTAACCTTCCCCCCAGCCCAGTCTTATTTATCTCTATAGCGTGACATTTATGCAGTTTCCTTATAGAGTCATATTTATGTATCTGTTTGTGTAGCTTTTTCTTTCATGCCGTGTACCAGGAACATCTTTCCTGGTAATGGCTTTGTAGAATTCCATCGTGGGGAATGTGCCAGAAATTGTATGACTTCCACCTCCAGGTGGACTCTTACTTTTGTAGGTTGCAGCGAAATTGTGATGACTTGAGTCGGGCCGAGTCGGGCCGAGAACCTAGGTTTTCTCCTACGCAGACTTTCTGGTGGAGAGGTACTTTTCTGTGAGCTTTGTCTACATTCTCGTATCCTTACAACACCTGTCAGAGCTGAGGAAGCCAGATTTTGAATGCTTGCAGGTAGCCAGCAGTTAAAGGGTGGAGCTGGGACAGCCATGCCCTTTCCCAGGCTGGCCCCCAGCTCCTGCTGGCCCAAAGTGGTAGGGTCCGGTTTTGTTGGGTGAGTGCATTTTGCTTCGGTCAAGATGCTGTCTCTATGCTTCTCCTCAAATACCATCACAGATGCCAGATTATTAAAAGCCAGGCTCTCTTGGCAGTGTTCGATTGGACCTTTTACTGAAATCCTCCTGGGCCGAGGGGTTGGGGTTGGTTGGTCCCTGCAGCAGGGGGATGTGAGTGTTCTGGTGGAGAAGTAGGTCATGTTTCTAATAGAGCTCCAGCGATGGCTGTTGGTGTTCTTGTTTCTGATGGGTGTTTTGTATCTGAGAAATCAGCTGTACACACTGCTTCATAGCATCAGAATGGAGAATTAAGTTTATTTTCTGACCACTAAATTACTGCTTTTGTGCATACCAAAGGGAGTTAGATACATCATTAGCAAAATTGCTTTTGATTGTTTTAAATTATGCACCAAAACTGTAATTTCTAGAAAAGGGTTTTCTAAAGATATCAGTAAAGACAAAAAAAAAAAAAAAAAAAAAAAAAAAAAAAAAAAAAAAAAAAAAGACACTGCCATTATATTAACGGTACTCCAGATGCAAATTTGTGCAATTTGGCTGGGATAGAAACGCTCTCATCTGCCCCCAGCCCTGTTAGTTTGTACCTGTGTATTAGGAAAGCTAGGTGTTTTTTTTTTCTCCCAGTTTATGCGGGGGATAGCCTCCTTTGTGTAGGAAAATTGCAAAATCGAATGAACTTATTAATATCCCTGAATATATTTAAAAACTATTTATTTACTTATTTATTTTTTAGTTTGGAGTTCTCCTTCTTGCTCGTGTCTTCAAAAGGAAGGCAACTGTGTTTATTTTTTAGTGTCTTCTGTTTGTGCCAGGATTGTTTGTGCTAGATCATCACATTTAATCTTCTCAGGAAGCAGATGAGGTAGGTAGGTATTCCCTACATTTTACACATGAAAAATACAAGCCCGGAAAGGCTCAGAAAATGGTCCAGAGCGAGTCGGCTGCTAGGAGGAAGAGGAGGGCCGGAGGCCGGAGGCCAGCTTCAGAGGCAGACAGGGATATTCTACACAACCCTTTCCCAGGAAGGGAGGAACCCTCTTGTCACCATTCCAGACGTACCTGGGATTGCTTCAGGCCTGACCGCTCACCTTTCTCAGTGGCTCGGATGGGACGGGTGTGACCTGGAACCTGAGGCTGGCGCAGTGGCGACTTGAGGAAGTGCGTGGCGAGCGCCGGCTAGTGCCTCGTACGTGGCCGTGTGTGTGCAGGTCGAGCCCGGTGTGTGAGCCTTCCTGGCCCGCTTCCACCGCCAAGTGAGGAGTCCCGTCATGACATCTTTAATAAGGTGGTAGGTGGGACTCCGCTCAGCGTCCATAAGGTAGCATTTTGTGCGGTGTTATTTTAGAACCCGCGTTAGGTTGACTGACGGCAGTCTTCCAGCCTGAAATTGGCTTTGGCATTTGTGTACTTGCAGATATCTTTTCTCCTGCCATATGACACACAGATTTGGATCTAAGAATAAAGATTGGTGGAGACTGAGGACCAAGCAATTGACTGTTATTTTCCAGTCCTCTCTGATGAGGCATGCACTTCCTCCCAGCTGGTCCCCTTCACCACCTCAGACTGTTCTTGTCCTCGAACCTGTTCTCTTCCCTCGAATTTCAGGACAGAGAGTGTCTCACTTTCCTTAACTGAGCAGCAGAGGCTGAAGAGCCGTTGCGAGGTCCACATCTCTAACCTTCTCGTCGTATGGCCTCGGACGGGTTGTTTGACATCTCGGTTCTTGGTCTGGAAAATAGGCCTGGTAATTTCTGTTATCCTGCGAGCTCTGGGAATGCAGTTTGCCTGAGGACTGTGGGAGAACGTGCTCGAAAGCATCGTACATCCTAGAACGTGCAAGCAGGGCTCCTGCCTCCCTTTTCCTTCTTGGGAGACCTTGCTGATTTCATCATTCCCAGGGTCCCAAGTATTTCCTGTTTTCCTCTCAGGTTCCTTCTCTTCCGCTTAAAAAAATTAAAAAGAATAATAGCTTCATTGAGGTATAATCCACATATTATACAGTTTATCCGTTTAAAGTATGTAGTTGCAGTGGTTTGTTTTGTTTTCTTTTTGTATACACAGAAAGTTGTGGAACCATTACCGTAATAAGTTTTAGAACATGTTCATTATCCAGAAAAGAAACCCTGACCCATTAGTGGTCACTTGCCATTTCCCCTGTCTGCCCTAGCTGTCGGCAACCACTAATCTGCTTTCTGTCTTTCTATGTTTGCCTATTCTGGATATTCATATGAATGCACTCATACGGTGTGTGATGTTTGGCGACTGCTTCCACTCAGCGTAATGTTTTCAAGGTGCATCCGTGCTGTAGTCTCTGTCAGTACTTCATTTCTTTTTATTGCCAGACGATAGCCCATTGTATGGATGTAGCACATTTAATTTATGCATTCGTCAGTTGATGGTCGTTTGACCTGTTTCCACTTTTCAGGTATTATGAATAACGTCGCTGCGAACGTTCACGTACTACAGGTTTTTGTGTGGACGTGTGTTTTCATTTCTCCTGGGTGAATACCTAGGAGTGAAATTGCTGGGTCAGGTAGTAACTCTATGTTTAACCTTTTTTTTTTTTTTTTTTAATTTTTAAAAAAAAACCTATTTATTTTTGAGAGAGAGACAGAGTGAGCCTAGGGGAGGGGCAGAGAGAGAGGGAGACACGGAATCCGAAGCAGGCTCCAGGCTCCGAGCTGTCAGCACAGAGCACAACGTGGGGCTCGAACCCACAAACTGTGAGATCATGACCTGAGCTGAAGTTGGACGCTTAACCAGCTGGGCCCTCCGGTGGCCCTCTGTTTAACCTTTTGAGAAGCCACCAAACTGTTTTCTAAAGCGGCTGCTCCTAGTTTACATTTTCACCAGAAACATGATAAGTTCCAGTGTTTCCACGTCCTTGCCAACACTTGTTATTATTTTGATTATAAGCTGTCCTGATGGGTTGGGAGTGGCAATATTTCACAGTGATTTGATTTACATTTCCCCGGTGATTAGTGATATTGAACATCTTTTCATGTGTTTTTGGCCATAACTCCATCTCCTTTTGAGAAATGTCAGCCAGATCCTTTGCCCATCTTTTAATTGAGTTATTTGTGTTTTTTGTCACTGAATTGTAAGAGTTGTCCGTATATTCTAGATTTGGTCCCTTTCCCCAGCTTTTGAATATATTTAAAATTCTCCACACTCAAAAGTCACCCCCATTTGGCCTCTTAAATTATTTTTTGTATGTTAGCTCCACAAATAGTTGAGTACCTACCATGTTCTTGTGGTGAAGGCTGTGGGTAGAGCATGACCAAGAAATGCGGAGTTCCTGAGCGCTGGAGCTTGTAGGCCAGGGCAGAAGACAGACGAGTAATTGCACAGGCATTTAGTTATAATGGTACCAGTGTAGGGGGCGGTGAGCGTCCTTAACAGAGAGACCTGACCTGGTCTTGGAAGTCAAGGCCCATTCTCCCGAGGAAGGCACCTGCGCGCTGAGTCCTAATGTTGTATTGGGATTACGCGAGGGGTGGGGGTCGGCAAGAAAGAGTGTTGTAGACACAGGAGGCGGTGTTGGCCAAGGCCCTGGGCTGGAAAGAACACAGACACTGAGGAACTGATAGAAGGTGAGTGTGTGGGCGTAGGGAAGCAGGAGAGGGGCAGTGACTCTGCGTGGAGGCTGTGGTGAGGATTTTGACGTTTGTCATAAGGGAGCAGGGAAGCATTACAACAGTTTTAAGCAGAGGCCAGGAATGGTAGGTTTGCCTTGCCTGCCGCAGTGGGGAGAGTGGACTCGAAAGGCCAGGGCTGGATGGGGGAGGGCGCTCAGGAGGTGGTTGCCGTGGCTAGGTGAGCACCAGCAGCGTCTTGGGGCTGGTGGGGGGCGAGGAGAGCCGAAAGACCTCAGAGACGACTCGGGGGCAGGGATCCGTGGAGCCCAGCGAGTGGGGCGCGTGGGTGATGAGCGTAAAGGGCAGTCTGATAAGGACTCGCAGGTTTGGGACGCACGGTGAGGGAATGGTAGCGTGATTCACCGAGAGTGTTGAGGTGGGGTGGCTTTGGGGCAGGGGCTCGGGTGGCGCGAGCGGGGGCTGAGGGCTGGGCTGGCCAGTGGAAACGAAGGTGCCTGCCCCAGGCGGGTGGGGAGATCTGAGCCCGCCCGGGCGGTAGCCGCGGGGTCAGTGACTCGGTAGCCAGGGAGAACTTCGGTGGGAGGTGGTTCTGGTGGCCTCGCAGGGGCGGGAGGCAGGTTGGCTTAGACCGAGTGGTGGGGCGGGGGGAGGAAATAGAGAAGGAGCAAGAAGGTGCTCCTCAGAAGATCGTGTTGAGGACAGGACTGCCGTGTATTGAGCATCTGCCGTGTCCGGAGACGGTGGGCCAGGGCCAAGCGGGTGTCGACGAGGAAAAGCTTGGTGGCGGCCAGTCAGACGAAGAACCTGCCAAGACACGAATTCTGCAGACCGGGAGATAAACTTAGATGCCACTGTAGGAACCAGAAGTGTGGACGGCCGGCTTGAATCCTGTTGTACGAGGTCGGCCTGAGGACGTGTTGCCTGCGTGACCAGAGGACGTATATTCATTGTCCTTTTCGTGTGTCTCTTCAGGATGCCAAGAAGTCCCGCTTGCCCATCCTGATAAAAGCGTCCCGGTCATTAGGAAATGTGTACCGCCTCCCCGCCACCCAGGAGCTGGTGACCCAGCTGCAGGGCCAGGTCCTGGAGCTGCAGGGGGAGCTGAAGGAGCTTAAAGTCCGCAACAGGCAACTTCGGCAAAAGTTAATTCTGGCTGAAGCGATGATGGAGGGGAGGCCAGCGCCAGACAAAACGCTCCTGAAAGGTAAGCACCGGGAGAAATGTGTTCTCCGTGCGCGAGACAAACAACCCGATAGAGCTGCTCGAAATGTCAGCCTTGTTGTGTAGAACTGCGGTAAGCTTGAGTATAAATTTTATGAATTACAGTGATTAATCTTGACTCTTGACAAACACACAATCAAAGGAACACAATAAGGGAAATGAATCTATTGTTTTCATTTATTCTGGAGTCCGCGTGAAGGGGACTTGTAAGCGCTCGCGGGTCTTGTGAGGTCACCGCTGCCTTCACTTGGGGTGGTCTGTGGGTACCCCGGCTGTGGGATGATTTCAATCTGGGTTTTTTTTTTTTTTTCCTGGCTTTGTCTGTGCAAGCCTCAGGCATATGGGTAAGTCACGTGTGTAAGCGAGAGTCCTCGTGGTGGGGTTTTCTAGAATGTCCAGGCTACATCACTTTGGGTTCCTGAGGGCTAATTCCCAGCCCTGTTGACCTTACGTCTTCCTCTGGAAGTGGCCTGCCTCCCCACCCACTTTGAATCTGCTGTTTCTGCACTCGTGGGAGCCCCCAAAATGGAGGGCCCCTGGGTTAAAATGTGTCCAGGTTAGACTGCATAGACTCGGAGGGAGCGTGTGAGATAGCGTCCCCTCGGCTGGAACAGTGACAGTGGTTTGGGGCCACCCCCCCTTCGAGAGTCTGAAGAAAGCTGCCAGCCGTTACCAGAGAGCAGTGTAGGTGAGCACACAGGTAAGTGTCGTACCTCATTTTCAGAGGGTTCGTGAGTCCACAAAAGCACACGTGCACTCCTGATTTTGAACTTCTGCTGCAAGCAAATGATAGCAACACCCAATACCAAGCAGTCTTTGATTTATCTATTCAAAAAGCAGTGGTTACATCCTCCTGTGTGCCCGGCACCGTTGTGGGCCCTGGGGAGATCGTGAACAAAACAGGTGACCTAAGTGTGTGGACAGCTTCCCTTCCTGTTGTGGGGAGGAAGACAATAAGCCGATAAGTGGACAAGCTGTATGTGAGATGGCAGGTGCTGTGGGGAGAGATAGAAAGCAGGGTCAAGGGCATGGGTAACGTGGAATGGGGTAGAGTTTGCTACCACACATGGAATGAGCCTCCCTGATGAGGGGACATTTGAGTGGAAAATGGGAGGAAATGAGTGGAATCGTCAGTCAGCTTGGAAAGTGCGTTTTTGGCAGAAGGAGCAAGGGCCCAGGCCCTGATGTTGCTTTGAATTTGGGCAGTTGGTTGAGCAAGAAGGCCAATTATGTGGCTGGAGTGGAGTGAGAAAGAGGAAGAGGGAAAGAGGTCAGGGAGGCCCTAGGAGGTCGTTCTAGGGCTTTGTCTTTCGCCCAGTTAAGACGGGAAACTGCTGGAGGGTTTGGAGCGGCAGAGTCACATGACCCGACTGCAGCTTTATAGCCGGACTGGCAAACTGCGGCCTCTGGGCCATCCATGCTCGCTGCCTGCCTTTAAGTTTTACCGGAACACAGGAACATTCCTCCGCATCCTGTCTGTGACTGCTTTTGCGCTCGATAGCAGAGTTGAGTGGTTGTGATGGAGGCCGTGTGGCTCGCAGAGGCTAAAATATTCTGTATTTGGCCCTTTGAGAGAAGTGGGCCGACCTGTGCTTTAAAGGATCACTTGTAACGTGAGCCATCAAATGATGGTGGGGAAGGCCGCAGGAGAGGCAGGCGGAGGCGGTCGCTGGGTGTCTGGTTTTGGTCTGACTTGAGATGCCTGTTGACCATCCCCGTGGAGATGCCAGGTTGGCACTCGGAGATGCAGGAGTCTGGAGTCGAGGGGCTGGATCTGGGCTGGGGCTTTGAACTTAGCAAATGCCAACCTGTTGCTGGTCTTTGGAGCTCTGAGGCTTGGAGGCCTGGTGAGCAGACCCTGGAACTGAGACTGGACTGTAGCGGGTGGAGCCCGGACGGAGAAGGAGCCGCCAGAGAGGCAGGGAGGGAGCCACGAAAGGGTGCCATCCAGAAGCAGAGTGAAGAACAGGCTCACTGTGTCAAATATTGTCAATAAGTAAGGCAAGAATGGCGGATTGGCCTCGGATTAAGGAACAGGAAGCCATCACCGGTGACCTTGAAGGGAGCTGCGTCCCTGGCGTGGCCGGGCCTGCGTGCCACAGGTTCCAGAGAGCCAGTGGAGGAGAGGAACCGAGACGGCAAGAAGAGACGGCTGTGAGGGATTTTTACCGTAAGGCGGTGTGGACAGGCAGGGCAGTTAGGAGCTGCGTTGTCAGGGAGTCTCAAGGGATTCGGTGGATCGGGACGGTGGGGACTGCGGCAAGGTGGGTAGTCACGACTACGGCCTGGGAGCGTGAGCCGCAGAGCTGGAGTGTTTAGGGGAGAGATCATGATCCGGAAGGGTCCGCGAAGAGTGAAGGCACCTAGGCCCTTCCAGGTCTGTGATAACAGAGGTATGTGGGAAGGAAACGTCCAGTCCTGGGGGCGCTGCGGGAGAGGCAGTGTCGGGGCGCCATCCAGGTCCTTAGAGCGAGGGGCAAGGTGCATGTTCAGGGAGGAGATTGAGGTTATTCGGGATTTTGCCATTGAGGAGTTTGCTTTCTGGGGTGGGAGACTGCATCCGGTTAGGGGATTGCCAAGGTGGTTCAGGGCTGGGCCATGACTGGGAGTCTTGGGCTTCCTGTGTCAGTGATGAGAGGAGCGCCTGTTGTTTATTCGGCCTCACTGCCCACTTTAAATGCAAGATTAGGGGCGCCTGGGTGGCTCAGTTGGTTGAGCACCGGCTTCAGCTCAGGTCACGATCTCACGGTCCGTGAGTTCGAGCCCCGCGTCGGGCTCTGTGCTGACAGCTCAGAGCCTGGAGCCTGTTTCGGATTCTGTGTCTCCCTCTCTCTCTGACCCTCCCCCATTCATGCTCTGTCTCTCTCTGTCTCAAAAATAAATAAACGTTAAAAAAAATTTTTTTTAAATGCAAGATTAATTGATTCTTCTTCACAGTCCTCGAGGCAGGAATAGTCATCATCCCCGTTTGTCTGTCGTTGAGGCCACAGTTTCAGAGATAAAGTGACTTGGCTGCAGTCATACTGCCACTAACTTCCGGCGGTAGATTTGCACCAGCCTGCCTGATTTTGAAGCCTGTGCCCTTTACTGCTTCATAAAGCCTCGTGTCTGATACCTCGCGTATGGATTTTCTGATGATCTGTAGCGTATGGTGTTTTCCATTTATGTTTAAGTTCTCGGGTTCACCTTAGTGGAGGTTTCAAGATAGTTGGGGCTTTGGCTACTGCTCTTTCCTTCCCCCCTCCTTTCCCACTTTGTTTCCTCCCATCCATCCATCCATCCATCCATCCAGACATCATTCATGCATTCAGTGGATATTCCCTGAGCACCTGCTGTGTGCCAGCCTCGTGCACTGGGTGTAGGAGAGAGACAGAGACAGAGAGACAGAGGAACGAGATAGTCTCAGTGGCTTCTGAGAACTCCCTGTCCAGTGGGAAGGGGGCAGAGAATTAAACACATCAGTGTGGGGCAGAAGCGGGGGGCGCTTCAGGGAGGAAAGATTTGCACGGCAGAGGTGACTCAGCCCAACAGAGGCCCTGGCACTTTGCCCGGAGCTTGCCGTATGCACTTACCAATGTTTTTGTTTGTTGCTGAGACACCAGGGCGCCTCAACCAGGTGCTGCTCTCGCGGTTTCCCAGGAGACCCCCGAGGCCTCTCTCTTCCAGGGGAAAAGTGGGCATGAGTCTATAGAATTCATTTTCTCACTCATAGTTTTTTGAGAGCCTAGACTTAAACCATTTCAGACAAGCTGCAGTATATTTATGCTTTTTATGTCCTGTTATGGCAGCTCGATAGATTAATTTTATCTTATAAATTGCATTTTGCCTCCCCAGTGTTTTTATTTTCCCCGTTGGATCTTTGTGTTCTTCTCAGTTGCTTGGCTAAGTTTCAAGTCTACGGTTTTATTTATTTTTCCTTCTCTTCACGAACGCCTGTAGCCCAGCCCCTTGTGGGAGCAGCCTACCAGGACAGCCCAGGAGAGCAGAAAGGAATTAGAACCATGGCCTGTGTCTGGAGAGACAAGGAAGGGGACAGTTATCAGCACACCAGCCACGAGACCGGTCGGAATTCAGCCTCTGTGTGTGTCGAACAGCTTCCGTGTGCCAGGCACTCCTTGGGGTCTTGTATAGAAAAAATTGTCACTAAGCCCTGCAACAGGCTTCTTAGGACATCATCATTATTCCCACTTAACACGTGAGGAAGCTGAGGTTTGTAGAAAGAATTGATCCAGGTCACCCAGCTGGTAAGCGGATAGACGAGTGGAGGTCTGGTAGACTGTGTGTCCGAGCTTACCAGTCTGTCTGGGACGCTCTCCTCCCAGGCCGTGGACTGGGTCCTGGCGGGCATGGTGCGTGCTCTCAGGGACCTCACAGCCCAGCAGGCAGGCAGGTCTCTGTGTGGTGCTGGCTGGGTTAGGTTAGGTGTGCCCCACCGGCCTCCGGCTGCCCAGGAGGGGGGTAAGAGGTGAGCCCGAGCTGACTCCTGGTTTGTGGGGTTTGTCAGGCAGGCCGGTGGGAAAGGTACAGAGACATGAGTGAGGTCCCAGGCAAGTCACATCTGTTTCTTCTTGGCAGTATAAAGTATTCTAAGCATACAGAGAATCACAAAGGGTGATAGAAGAATATTCACGTTCCCATTCATCCACAATGAATAAATGCTTACATTTTTTCTTTTTACCTTACATCCACCCCCCTCTGCCTTTGTTAAAAAAAAAGGAGTCACCTTTCATCTGGACCTAATTCACTCCGTAAGAAATAATTATCTTCAGGAATCCTAAATTTGTCATGGGGCGGCTATGAGAACACCGTCTCTGGGGAAGTACTGAGTTACGATGTCCGCTTCCCCGAGGCCTCCAGTCAGTGCACTGAATACCTGGTCACATGCTTCTGAAGGTTGTGGGCTTTGAGGAGAAAGCCACTCTACCAGGCAGTAAAGTACTCTTAGCTGAATTGTAGAAGGTTCCAGAGCTGCAGTATTTCCTCCAACGCAAATAAGTGGTCCTGGAGACATCTTTTGAGTTCTTGTTCACAGCCAGTTGGTTACTAAAGGCTTCGTGTCGAACTGGCAGTTTCCTTTTCCCTCCCAAATCCCCATCATTGGTGACCTTCTTTCCTTTTTCTGAATGTGCTTCTAGAACTTTGCACGTGCTGTTGCCCCTGCCTGAATTTCCCCCCTTCAGTTGAGGCCTAGCCGAGGCCCCTGTCTTTTAGGTCTCGGCTTAGATGTCATTTTCCAGGGAAGGCCTTCCTGAATCCCTCAGTTATTTAGACACTCCTGTTGGCCTCCCAGGTTTTGGTCTGATTCCACAGATGTTATTGGCCTTCACACTGAGGGTTGAGGATTGTCCCTCCCCGCTCGTGCACCCCTGCTACGGGAGACTCCAGGCGTGGGAGGGGTAGACACATCAGGAGGCGGCGTTCAGAGTTGGAGGCAGGTGGCCAGGCTTTGAAGGAGGGGCTGTGCTGCTTACTCGCCCTGACCCTGGGGCAGGTTCTTACCTCTCTAACTAAACCTCGAGTTCCTCTTCTGTAAAATGGGGACACTGGTGACACCTCGCTGGACTGTCGCGAAGACTAAATGGCTATCACAGGCGAGGTGCTTGGCGCTCGGCGGTAGGCCAGGTCCTGGCATAGTTACATGTCCCGAGGCCTTTCTGAATGTGCTTCTAGAATTTTCTAGAGCCTTCAGGCTCACACCACATACTACAGCTTGTGATCCTCCCTGTCCCACACCTGCAGTGCAGTGATTTCTGATGAAATATCTGCCTTTGGCCCTTCATCGAGGGCTGCTGGGCCGCGAGTGGCAAAGCCACACTGCAGAGCCCATGCTGGGCCACGAGACGTGCCGGATACCGGCCTTGGCACTGGGCCACCGCCTCCTCGCTGCTGCTGAACACCAGGTGCTGTGGATTGGGGGCGCTTCTAGAGTCGAAGTTATGAATGCCGAGTGTGTGGGTGTGAGACTGGTCGTGCCGTAGGGTCAAAGCCTCCAGTGGAGGGTAAGTGTTGTGCGAGCGGGCACACCGTGCCCGCCATCCTGAGATGCACGTGCCCCTAAACGTCAGAGCCGGCCGCGCTCTGCACCACGGCAGGACGTTTGTGTGGGTCTTACGTTTGCTAGGTAGATAAATAAGCAAGCCTCATGATTACTTAGTGAAAATCATCAAAACTGATCATTATTCCTCTGAGTGAACATTGCTTCTTGCCATGAGATTCCACTGTCGTGAGGTTGTTATGGCAGAGATACTTCCTTGACTTGGAAGGTGATCTACTGGGGAAAAGGCCTGCTGAGATGTCTCGCTCTGTCTCTGTCTCTTACACTCATTCAGCCGGCGGTTACTTACTGAGTCCCTTGTCTGCCCCAGGCCCCGGGCCAGGCCCTGGATTGCAGAAGGACATGCCTGCACGTGAGAGAGCGCGGGGACTGGCGACTGTCACACATTTTGTGCAGTAGAAATGCTGTGCGGGGAATGCTTCCTTTAGGTCATGGAGCAGCTGCTTTCTAAAATAAAAAGAGTTATTTTATGGTATTTGCGTCGTGAACAGAGAGATAAGAAGGGGCTTACAGCCACGAGGAGCAGTTGCGGAACCCAGAAATTGGAATATACAGTCTGCCGAGGATTCTGGTGCGCTTTTCCTTCTGAGAGCTCCCCCAGGCCCTGCTGTCCAACCCGCACGGCTGCTTAGGCAGCGCTTCCCCTGGTCCTCAGCCCCGGCTCGCAGGCCTCCTGCCTCCTGCCATCAGCATCCCCTTCCATCTTCAGACAGTTTCAGGGAAGCAAAGACTATCAGCATTAGCTGGGTTCCTTCACCTCTGTGAGCCAGATGCTTTTTGCAGAGCTGTTGTGCCGTGTGATCCTAAGAACACAGCAAACACAACCCTTCACAGTAAGCGATGTTCTTTCCATGCAGCGCGTGAAGCGACTGAGGCTCAGAGAGGTTAAGGAACTTGCCTAAGGTCCCACAGCTAGTAAGTGGCACAGCCAGAGTGGGAAACCAGATCTGTTGGATTTTGAAGATGGGTTTTTCTCCTGTATTCTGCCTCCTAAGTATTCAGCAACCCTTCTATCGAGCTGAGGCTTCCCCGCACATGGGGTGGTGTGGTATGTGATTAAGGACAGGAGCTCTGGACTCGGGCCTGAGCTTGAAGCCTCATAACAGGCACCCTAGGCATCTTTTTGGGGAAACTGAGGTTCTGGGACGTTAGATTACTTGCCTAAGGCGATGGAGTCAGCAGGTGGCAAAGCTGGGTGTGAGCCCCCTGCTCTTTGGTTTCAGAGCTCCGCATTCTTTCTCAGCACCGCCCCAGCGCTTAGACAAGTTTGGCCGCACGTCTGGGGATTTAAACTAGCTGTCAGGAAGTATTTCCCGGCAGGGTCATGCATCAGTGAAACGGCTCACTGCGGGGGACATCGTGGCACCTCCTGGAAACCGTTAGACGTGGAAATGAAAAGAAGACTCCCATCAGGGATGGGTTTTAGAATTACTGCTCTTAATGGTACTTCACGCACTCCCCGGTATCTCTCAGGCCTGCACTGACTTCTGGTCTGGGCTAAGGACTGTACCAGGCACTGGGAACGTGAAGGTGAAAGGCCAGCCCCTCCTGGGAAGGAGGGAGAGAGGAATCCAAATAAACAATTGCTAGGTAGATAAATAAGCAAGCCGATGTAGTTTCTCTGGCAGCACCCTGCACGTGGAATGTTTGTCCCGGGCAAGACGCGTAAGGGGCTGTGGAAGCACAGAAAGGAGGGACTGTTGTGCACAGTTTGAAGATGGGCTTGCAGAAGGAGCATTAGATCTGGATGTTGGAGGATGAGTAGGAGTTTGTTGAGTAGGTGTAGAGGACCAGGCATATTCCAGGCAGAGGGAACAGCACGTGCAAAAGCATGGGGGCACAAAATAGCCTGGTGTGTGCAGGGAATTCTGGCTAATTTAGTAGGGCATCTCCATAGGTGGCGTGAGGGGATATTCCTGGGAAGCCTGCCCAGAACTAGATCGTGGAGGGTCTCAGATGCTGTAAGAGGGCGTTTGGGTTTGATCCTCAGGATAGTGGGGTTATCGATGGATTTTAGGTGGGTGTTGGTGGTTATCATGGCCAAGCTCACTTTTCAGAGTAGTTACTCTGAGGAAGAGGGTAAGAGGAAGGACTAGGGTCAGAGACGCTTGTTAGGCTGTGGCCGCACAGGGCCAGGGGGGTGGCTTTCAGCAAAGGAGGTACTGATATACACATGTCTGATTTGCAGACTCTGAAATTTACCAGCCCGATGGCCTTGCCGTCCTGCCAACGTGCAATGAGAATCCTTCTGAAGATTTTCCGGGCCCGACCTCAGTAGCTACTTACTTGAGTCAGCTTCCCACTAAAGTCCGAGTGATTGGGACCCACCAGTCAGAGAACGTTGACACCTCGGGTGATGCAGAAAACTTAAAACAGAAAATCTGTGACTTGGAAACTGAGCTCGAGGGCTACCGGAATTTCTTATTTCAGCTTCAAAAGCACTCCCAGTGCAGTGAGGCCATTATCACAGTTTTGTGTGGGACAGAAGAAGTGGCCCAGGATGCCTTGAACAAGCCCAAGGGTAGTACCGACGAAGAAGAAATGACCTTTTCAAGTTTGCAGCAGGTTCGGTATGTGAAACACATGAAGATCCTTCATCAGCTGGCTCCAGAGGTGACCGACGGTGGGCTGCTGGAGGGCCTCAGACGGCAGCTGGTGGATCAGGAGTGTCAGCTGCAGAAGGAGCAGAACTTGAACGTGGAGCTTTTCAGTGAAATCTGTAACCTGCAGAATAGGTTCAGAGATCTCTCCCCCTCCAGGTACATCCCACCTCTGCTTCTTCCACGGTGGCAACCTGCACACGTTGCCTCTGGGTCGGAGCCCGTGAGCGAGGGCGGGGGGGGGGGGGGGGGGGGGGGGGTGAAGCTGCTCGGTGGGTTGTGGTTGTGGGTTGTGTGCCGGGCAAGGCTCGATGGTGGGTTTAGGGCAGGTGGGCCCGATGGAGAGGTGAACGCGAGGCCACAGGGAGTGGTGGCCGTACAATTCTTGTGTTGTGTCTTCCGGAATTGGCAGAACAGATTTTGCCCTCCTCAGGCTGGGAACGGGGTGAAGGTATTATGCCAGCCACTTGGGGAGTCCTGGTACGTTTGCTGAATGGCAGTGTTTCCTCCTGGACCCCGTTATTGGCTTTTACTGCGGGGTTGAAACTGATGTCCTAGCCGGGGTAGGAAGGATATAAATATTTCCCATATCTTTACCCTTTAAGGTCATCTTAGAGAAATAAGCCTGTGTTGAAAGAGAAGAATTCTTACGTCATGTTTTACGGGCATAGATAGGTACAGTTTTGCTTTATGAGATGTGACAAAAAAGTAATCAGTTGCAAAGTTGACCTTCATTCGTCACTAATTTGAGACAGACACATTATTCTAAATTGTCAGGAGCCAGAACGAAGTTTTTCGAGCCTTCGCAAACAGCAAGCTGGGAGGAAGCTTGCATTTTATTGAAAGACAGTAGTGTCAGACGCCCGGATAGGCACTTTTCTTATTTAATCCTCAACATCGCCCAGAAAGGTGGTGTTCCTAAATATGGATGAGGAAGTGGAGCCTCAGAGAGGCCTCCCTGACCGAGCAGATGGCCCGAGGAGACGGGTGGTGTTGCTCAGAGCTGTCGCCAGTGCGCGAGC